CAGCACTTGGAAGGCAGAGGCAGGTGGATCTCTGTGAGTTCAAGGACAGCTTGGTGTACTCCAGGTCACCTGGGGTTACAGGGAGACCCTGTCTCCAAAAAAAAAAACAAAAAACACACACACACACACAAAAAACAATTTACTAATTCACAATGATTTCTTTTTAGGACATGTCAACAAAATTCTCATTTTGTATGAAAACTATCAATTACAAAACACTGTTACAGTTGTTTTTCTGCAACTCACTTCATTTAAACATAGACTATGAAAAAAGACTGATAAGTTATTTTACTGAGTTATCAAGCTGAAGGGCCTTTGAGATGAAAATGTCTTTTGCCACTTGTAACTGCATGGGTATGATAGACACAGGCTGCTGAGAATAATTTAATTAATGTCAAAGATTAGATCTTTTAACCTCTTTTCTTTGTCTGTATGAGTACAAATGCCAGCACAATGCAGATAATATTTACTATATATAATATAAAAATTGGGGAGCTGGAGAAATGATTCAGCATTTGAGAGAGAGCCTGAACTGTTCTTGCAGAGGACCCAAGATCAATTCTCAGCACCCCGATCAAACATCTCATCACTGCCTATAACTCCAGATCTACTGGCCTCCAAAGACACCAGCACTCAGAAGCATGGACATAGACACAGACACACATATACACATAATTTAAAAAATAATAAAATAGATCTTTTAAAAAGAAAAGAAAATTAGATTAGTGCACCATTTTGAAAGGGTCAAATACCCTGTGAGTATCTGGTCAAAATCAGAGTATGCTGTTCTGAGGAATCAAGAATGACAGCATTTGGGGGAACTATCTCTCAGTCATTCCACACTGAGGTAGCTTGGAAGTAGGTATATTCAGCTGCTGTTTCTTAAAATCCTAGCTACGAGGTTCATACAATGTTGCTTTAACCTTCTTTCTTTCCCATAGTGCTACAAAGTTGAAGAAGCAACCCTGAACCAGTAATTCTACCTTCCTTTAAATAACTTGTTTTCCACCAATTAACAAATTCAGTTTTAACACAGCTAATATTGACATCTTAATGCATCTTAAATCTTATCAGACAGGTGTAAAAATGTATGTATACATATAGGAGTGAGTTCTTCTGGCCTGATGAAAAAAGTGCTCCTAAATGTATGCATATGAACACATTTCCTTACAACCAAAAACTGTAATTCTTATAAAATTATAATTTTTGCAAAATAGCCTAATCTGAGGCATGAGGTTGCCTGTATTTACTTTAGTTTTCCAGAATAGGTAGTAAACAGTGGCAGGATTTCAAACTTGATCCACACCTGAAGACAAAGCTGGTCTAATGGCAAAAAAGAGACCACACATGTGACAGTTCCCAGTCTTTACCAGGAACAGTCTGCTGCTTTTGCCGGGAATCTCCTAAAATCCATGCCAAAACAGATGTACCACCCTTGATCTGCCTAGGCATGCATTCCAGTTGTTTATTTGCACGCCCCTCTCTCAAGCACTGTTATAAAAGCCCAGTCATTTCTGTCCTGAGAAACCATCCCAAATCACCACAAGACAGGTGAGAGCCATGCAGGGATTCACTTCTCACATTGCTAGAGGGGATGTGACAGGGTCTCTGTCCTCACAGAACAAAGGCACACTGAGACTCAGTAGAGTTGGTAGCTCTCAGGGGAATGAGAGAGTTACCAACTCTCATTCATTTCATTCAAGGACTACAGAAGGAAAGGGATAGACCAAGAGTAGTATATCCCTGCAAACCTAGACAAAAGAGTAGGGGAGGGACAGTCCTTTTTGCATGTTCTCTCTGTCACACCTCAGTGACTCTTGACTGTTCCTCACTCACAGACAAGAAGCTGCCTCCTATGACCCTTGCCAACATGTCCTGGATGGTGCTCTCCTGCCTCATGCTCCTATCTCAGGTTCAAGGTAAGGATTCCCTATCTCTAGGACTGGGTTCCCTATGAGTGTTCAGAGCCACGAAATAGAGGAAGGCTCCAAAGAGTCTCATATGGTGATTATGAGTATTCCACAAAATTAAGCTTGCAGTTCCTCCCTTGTCCTGCCTTCCTCCAGGTCAGTGGTGGGAGGTACCACAATGGTCCACCATCAGTAGAATGACAGGTTCCATAGTTTGTCAGGAGACTCTATTTTAGGCTTGTGGGGTCAAAAGGAAAAAATTAAATGTCAGAATAGAAAAGTAGACAGATGGAGGACGAAAGGTCCAAATTATCTGCTGAAAGAAGGGAGTTTCATAAACTGTTAAATGCAGGAAGGATAAAATAAAAAGACGCTTTCAACATTGAAAGTTTTTTTTTTTTTAATTTAAGAACCTAATCTTGGGGAGCTAACTCAGTCAGTAAAGTACTTGTATAAATATGAGGACCTGAGTTGAGTACCTAGAGCCCATATAAATGAAACTGGATGTGGTGGCACATGCTTTTCACCCTAGTGCTGAGGTAGAGGAGACAAGATCCAACGTGAATCACTGGCTGGTCCTTCTCATCAAATCCACAACCACAAGTCAGTTAGAAACTTTGTCTCAAAAATTATCATGAATAGCAACTTAGGAAAGACAACTGAGATTGGTTGGTGGCATTCACATACATGTGCTCATGTGTACCCCAACACAAACACTTGTCTTTAAGATTAAGAAGCTGAGAACTAGGAAAATAGTGAGAAATTCTCTGAATTGCAGTTCTAATTCCAAAAAGAGGCTTTGTGAATATTTGCTAAGTTCAACTTCCAGTCTAATCTCTGTTCTCCATTTTACCTGATTACTACCTTTATCTCCCTCTATCCTAGGTGAAGACTCTCAGAATGAACAGGCCTCGTCAGCACGTATCAACTGCCCTCAAGGCGCCCTGGCCTATGACTCCTACTGCTATGTTTTTATTTTGATACCACAAACCTGGATAAATGCAGAAGTGAGTGCTGAGAGGTGGGATTGGGAGCAATAGTGGAAAGTACATGTGTGTATGTGTGTGGGGTGTTTTTGACTCCAATCTCTGTGGTTCCTTGAGTCTGACATGACCCCCACTCCCCACCTCTATTCTGCCATTCCCCAGTGAGGTCTGTCTCACTCTCATTCTATCCCTCCCTCACGCAGCTGGCCTGCCAGAGGTTTCCCTCAGGACACCTGACATCTGTGCTCAACAGCGGTGAGGCTCGCTTTATATCCTCCCTGGTGAAGAACAGTGTGCACGGCTACCAAAATGTCTGGATTGGACTCTTTGATCCTACACACGTGAGACTTCATCTTCTTGCTTTTTCTCCATCATGCCTTTTGTTCCTGAGGAACAAACATCAGGTTCTCTGTGACTTCCCAGGAAGAACCCCAAGGGGACAGACAACTCAGACACTGAGTGACACTGGTCAAAGGAAATCCTGGAGGCCAGCTGAAGAGCTGAGTCTGTGGAGGTTCTGAGATTTCTGATGAAGTTTACATGCCTGTATTGACATTTACAAAGTTCTCATGCAAGGCCTTGGAAGGCTTTTCTGTCAGTCTGAAAGAATCTGCATAAACTATTGTCAGAAAATACCAAATATAGACAAGATCCATATTTTTATAGGATAGATTTTGTCCTTGTGTTTCCGGGAAATCCTCAAACATACCACCAATTACATTTATCGAGGAATGATAAACATCAGTACAATCTAATTTCATCCAATACTTTCTGGGGTTTGTAAATAGGAATGAGAAATTCAGGAATAATATTTCATCAGAGGGCTGTTAGCAGTAGTGTATGGTTCTACTGAGTTCTGAGAGGCTGAGGAGGGAATCCAGTGTTTCAATGAAGAGATCATATACATGGAGTGCTAATGAACCTTCCCCTCCTCTGATACCTGCTTTGTAGGGGACAATACCCAATGGAGGTGGATGGAGGTGGAGTAACTCTGATGTGCTAACTTACTTTAACTGGGAGAGGAATCCATCCACTGCTGCGTACTGTGGGAGCTTGTCACGAGCCTCAGGTAAGACAGAGAAGAATCACTTCTGACTAGATACATGTGCCTCTTCCTGCGTGCCCTGGGTCTGAACTTCTGGGTAAACCTCTATCCTTGGAAATGCTGCTATGTGGACTTGTTTTCTCCCATGGTTCTCTGTGTATCTCTCCTTCCTATGGTATACAACACTGGGCAGCATGAGGGAGAGACTTCCAAGTCAACACCAGAGATGGAGGTGTTCCTTTGTTATGTTCACCAGCTCCACCTATCTTGTTCACTGGATTTCTTGTCTCTCTGCAGATTATCTGAAGTGGAGAGAATATAATTGTGATTCAGCATTACCCTATGTCTGCAAATTCAAACCCAGTTCTAAATTCAACAACCTGAATATATATTGAAGTTTATGATAGACAAGGAACCAAGTGTGAAGACTTACCCAGGATCCCTCATCTGTTCTCTCTTCCTCTTCCCTCAGTAATTTCTGTGTGAGTGGTGATCTAAGGGCTTCAGAGATCAATAATAAACTCTTTAGTCAAGCTTTGCGCTTTTGTTCTTCTTTAATGAATGGCATGTGTACAGTACACTTGTATGTAAATATAAAGATTTATATTTAGTATAAGGTGAGAAATTTAATTTGAAATTCATATGAAATTTCATTTTTATATGACAGAGATAGGATTTTCTCTAGGATCTGTGAGCTTTCCAGCCATGTGTATTTGGCTATGTTTACAGTGCCACCCGTTAGTTCACTTCTATTGAGAGGGCTTTAAGTCCAATTAGACAGCTGTTGATTACCTCCCATTTAACAGTGCCAGTAGCACACCAGTAGAGGTAGTCTCATTTGCTGGTCATTATTGTTATTAGCCTTTAGGGCTGGTTTCTTTCAAAAGTGGACTGCTGTAAATTGTAAGCTGAACTTTCCTCCTGTCAGGTTGATTTTGGCTGGAGTTTTATCACAACAACAGAAAACCAGACTAGTGCAGGCTTCTTGTACACACACCCCTCCATGCTGGGTTCTTTGAGTTCCTTTCTTGTTTGTCCTTGTGCAGATCTTGTGCACTCTCTTACAAGCATTGTGGGTTAATATATGCAACTATCCTGTCTGGAAAACATGGTTTCCTTGTATTCGTTCACCACCTCTGGCCCTTATAATCATTCTACCCCACCTTCTGAATTGATCAGTGAGCCTTGGTAGGTGAGGGTATAGTATAAGTGTGCCAGTTAGGGTCTCTTATTTTATGCACATTGTCTAGTTGTGGTTCTCTGTGCTAATTGCTATCTACTGCAAGAAGCTTTCTGGTGAGAGTTGAGAGATGTACTAATCTATGGGTAAACAATGAGTTGTTAGGAGTCAGTTTAATACTATATCCACTTATCAGAATTATAGTAGTAGCTTCTCCCCTGTGGCCTCTGACCTGTGACCTCTTTAGCTTCAAGTTCTTGACCCTAATAACAGTGTCAAATATGGACACTGTTTTATGAAGTATACTGTAAATCCAATCAGAAAGTGGCTGTTACTCCCATAGTGAACATACTACTCTTGTGTCAATGGACGTTGCTTGCCGGACAATTGTTTCTGTAGCTCTCAGTGTTCAGAGCTGAGTAAAGCTATTCTTCCAGTAGCATGCATAGCACCTTCCAGCACTATGAAAACTAGCCAGTAGGGATGAAAATTCGAGATCTGTATCAGCTTGATATCTCCTTGTTTTTTATATGATTTACATATATAGGGTCTTTGGCAATAAGGTCTTATCATTAAGTTCACGAGCATAATGACAGTAGCCATTTTATGAGTGTCTATGGGAACCCCATGGTGAACAGCTCCAAAAGAGGGAGTCCATTCCAGGACTTGGAATGTTTTTCCTCAAATATAATTAATTTTTAAAAAATTTGTTGATTTATTTGTGTGTATATTACACAGAACATTCCAAACCATTTTATTCAACTGTACACCCACTTCCCATATGGCCCCCGCTCATAGCCTCCCTCCTCTGACTAGAGCCCTTATACTCTGTTATCCCTGCTACTGTCTGCTGTGTTGTCAGCACCCCCAGCCATGCCCCACTACATGTCCATCCGGTGAATTTAGTCAGCCTATCTAGAGGTCTTTTCTTTAGGAAAGTCAGCTGTTCCTCATCTAGCAGAAATCAGTTATCAATATTCCTTTAGATAAGATTGGGATCTGTTGTTCATTTTCCAAGTTCTATGCTGGGTTATTATTTGGGAGTCCCTTTGGCTACCCTGGACAACAGCTCAAAAGAAGGTATCTCCTATGTGGCATTGTTGCTTGTTATGCAGCCTTTAGCTATACATATGGACTCTTAAAAAATTATATTGGCCCCTTAAATCTTTGGTTATACTTTCCTTTTGGGTGTTTAAAGTCATACAGTTGGTCCAGATAAACCAATTTATTTTTACTCTTAAGGCCGTTTGAGGATCTGTTCCTCAGGGGTAACATGGGCTTGGGAGGAGCCCCTGGCTCCTTTCTTTTACCAGTTCTGCCTATGTGAAGATAAGTCAAAGGTCCTGCTCAACCATGGTTGGCTTTGCTTGGAAGCATGGAGGAAATGTTTCCTCTGTGTTGACCCTCTTCTTTGTAGACTGGACGCTGGTTCAAGTCCATCTGGTGGGGTCTCCTCAGCCTCCTTGATCAGGAGGACAGGTGACCCACCACCATTACAGGACATTTTGAGAGATACTCATAGTCCCTTGGAACTAGTCAACCTAGGAGGGCAAGGAGAAAAAACTGCCCTGTACGTCCCTCTGACCCACTTAGTATAGGCCTCAAAGTATGTCTGTAAAACATCCAAGAAGTTTAGCTCCACCAGTCTGGTACTTTTAATTACTGTGTGCCATGTAGATAAATCTTGAGCAACGACTAATTGTTCTCAGATAAGCCTTGCCTAGAAGCATATTTCTTGATCTGGTATGTATAATTTATCAGTAGGTTGTTTGACTAATATGGTTGCCTCTGGTTTTTAAAACTGTCTAGGCATTATTTATCTCTCGCATTGTCTAACCCCTCCATCATGGTTTCCCCAATTAATGTGCCCCCATTTTCCCCCTTTCTCCCTTAAAACCCTTCTCCTATGGTCCTACCTCTCTTGAGCCCTTCTTTCCTTTTATCCCCTAGGTTCCTTGTATACCCTTCCCTTTTCCCTCCCTTAAACTAACCCAGTTTTTATCCATGTCTCCCGATTAACACCTGTTTCCTACTGTTCTTATCTTTCACTTTCTTTCTTTTCCTTTACCTCCCTGGTTCCTTTCCATTGTCCTGGTTCCTGTAGTTATGTCTGGATACATACTTTTTAGGATTTTATTCAAGGACCCACATATGAGGGAGAACATATATCATTTTTTTTTCTGAGTCTGTGTTACTTCATTTAGTGTAACAGTTTCTAGTTCATCCATTTACCAGCAAATTTCATGATTTCATCTTTCTTTACTGCTGAATAAAACTCCATCATATAAATGAACCACATTTTCATTACCCACTTGTCAA